TATTTCTAAAAGCTTAGAAAATCTCGTAAATGATTATGCAAGGCAGAGAACACAATTTTTGTACGACGTCCGCCATGCGTTTTATCTGTTAGAGATCTTTGGTGACTGATCACGAACAGTCTTTTCGACATGCGACATGTAGATTTTTAGTCACGATTTGGAAAACTTGGGAAAGCGGACGCGTTGTTTAGTTCAGTAAACTACATGGGGCCTTTTTGCACATCAACGGACTACCTTTTGTCATAAGTTTTTTTACGCGTTCTGATTTGGATGAAACGTCGTGCTCTATCAGAGTACAGATGCACGGAGTAACTTTGTCACGTCATCAACCAATCTGTGCAATGGCCGACTGTTTCCCGGACTTCGCTCTCTCTCTCTTTTTTTTTTTCTTTTTTCTATTCACCCTCAAATCTTGCATGACCTAGAACGCGAATATGAAAACGAGCTCCTGGCTTCAATTGATACAAAACAACCTGTAACAGTACAAATCACGTGGAAATTAATTTCGGAACCAAGGTATTGATGAAAACACCGAGTCAGCTCGTAGCAACGGGAGGAAATAAACACCGGTTTGTAGACGTGCCAAACGTCGAAATTGACGGAATTTATAACCTGAGCAGAGACGAAATACACCAAAGAGTGAACACGGGAGGTAGACTGTCAGACTCTTTGAAGGTTTTCTCGTTTTTAACTCGTGAATTGCGCGCATGCGCAAGAGCGAGTTGTAGATACGCTGTGGGGAATGGCATTCGCTTGCTCGCTCGATTGGTCGATTCCTCTAAACTTTTTTTTTAGGCTTTTGAGTGCATTTGATAGTTTTTTGCGAGCAATAAACAAACGAAATAGCGACCTTTGTTGCCAAGAATAGTGGTGGGGTGAAAAAGAAGCCAATGATAATCTTAAAAGAGTTTTTTTTTTCGTTTTAGTTTCAACAAGCGGCGCCAGCGACTGGCAGGCATGCAAGGATTCACACTGAAATAACAGAACATCCTTCGTATTTCATAAAATTGTAATTTACAATCCTTGAACTTGAAAAACAATCTGAAGATTCATTTAAAATATCACTTACCGCGAAGGGCTCGGAGTTTACAGATGTTCAAAAGCTTTTTCTGTTATGGCGTGAGGTTGAGGACAAAATCGATCATTACGTTTCATATCGTGTGTTTTTCCTGTGTGAAACAACAACAGATGCCGGCGACTGACGAAATTATCAGTTAACACGAAAATCAAATAACACCTAAACAAACAATTTTAGCTACCGATTTTCAGTGAATTTTTAAAGAACAATTTTCTTTTCAGTTTCAAGATAATTTGAAGATTTGAAATACATATTACGTACTAAAATGCGAAAGTTATACACCACAAAATTGATAAATAGGCCTGAAATGAAATTCTATCTTGTTGTTCATTATACGCTGCCTAGCACGTGACTAAAATCTACCCAGGCGGAGATCCAAAATGACGGTGGCAGTCTTGGCTTAGTTACATCACTCAAAACTCGTTCCCGTTTGTCTCATTTGATAAAGAGGGAATCGTTAATGTTTTCATTACGACATTATTGCCTTGATGTTCTAATATTTACAATGATAGACAGTAAATTTCACTTTTCATCCACATTTAATTCCAACCTTTCTTTTGAACCAGAAACAAAAATGATAGACGTTTAAAACACATGACATCATTCACCCAAATGTAATAGCATGATCATTTCAATTGTAATGCCTTCTTATCCCAACGTTACTTTGTTTCTTAGCTACATTAGCGAACACTGAACTACTGCTTGTACTCTAGATATGGCAATCAACCACAAAATTCCCTAAACCAGATAACATTAAACATAATCCAAAAACTCATGTGTCAATTCACGAGTTTGCTCACAGAGCACTTTGATTAAGACTGTCCCAAGGTTAATTATGGTGATAGAGTTGAAACACTTTTAACACTCATATAATAAATATGAATAGGTTTTTTCTTCAAAAACAAATCAAACCTGCTGACTTGCGGAACATTTTAAGTATGTAAACTATTTCAGTATGTAAAATATTTCAGTTTGTGAGCTATTTCAGTTTGTGATCTTTGATGGTTTCACATTTTGATTGCTTTAGTCTTATCCAATCATATTATTTGAAACAATCTAACAAAGGTTCGATTGGTCTATTTTGGCGAGCTTTTTAAGAGTACAGCAGCATGTTTATGTTCGTTGGGAAACAAAAGTTTGTTCTGAGCATTTTTATGAAAGCGCGGCGAATTTATTGTTTTCTTTGTCCCAAAATTGATAAAAAATTGAAAGCCTTTTTTCACGACAAAGAGAATGATTCTGACTCCTCCAACAAAGATACTTTCGAAACACTTCAAATTCGAAAGTCTAAATGGACTCCCCCAGAGGGCAAATTCGCATCTTTAGATTTTTTTCATAAAAAAATGTCCTCACGATCTTTACAAACTTAAATTCAATCGTAACACCGAATTTTCCACTTTTCTTCGGAATAGTGGTCGGCACTAAAAAGTCTAAAAAATCACAGACATAGTTATTAAAGCGGCCAACCAATGAGGCGCAGTCGCTGGTTGGGGGGCCCACCTCTACCAAAGACAAGCTTTGCGGCAACTTTCTGATACCTCTCTTTATGCTAAAGTTGACAAAGATCTCAATTTCATTAACCAAAACGTTGTCAAAAACACGACTAACGATCTTATAGCTAAACAAGAATTGCCGGTCACTGCAAAAACTCTTGCCATCACCACTCTAGAAATTTGTGTATTTACTTTTTACCTAAAATCCACAAACCTAACAACTTTGGCCGACCCATCATTTCTGCCAGCAGTTGTCTCTGTCGCACTCATTTCCAGCTATTTAGACAAAATTATAGCACCTATTGTCAAAATTTTACCATCATACTTGAAGGACAGCCAACGCGCACTTGAAATTTTTCGTGACTTTAATTTCCTTGGCCAAAAGAAACTTATTTTCACCGTGGATGCTACATATCTTTACTGTCATTCCCAATAACGAAGGTCTCCGAGCCCTCAAACATTTTTCCGATCAACGCGCTGTTAAGGAACCTAGCTCTGAAGCACTTCTCCGTCTAGCCGAACTAGTGCTTGCATTCAATTGCTTTTCATTCTGTGGCAACTACCACAATCAAACTAATGGCGTAGCCATGGGTACTAAAATGTGATCCAGGTAGGCCAATCTTTTCGTAGATTTTATCGAACGCCAATAGTTAGTCAACACCACGGCCCCAAACCTGAACTCTACGGCCGCTACATTGACGATTGCATCGGCGCTACCTCCTCTTCCAGAGAAGAGCTCACTCAATTTATAACCGCCGTCAATTCCTTTTACCCGACTCGAAACTATGCCTGCGAAATTTCCGTCACTTCTTTGGCATTTCTAGACATCAAAATTTCAAATTTAGGTAACGGTCTATGCACTACAGATTCACATAATTACTTGTTATATCCATCTTCACATCCATCACACGAAAAAAAGCCCATGTCTTTCTCACAGTTCAATGAGAATTCTTCGTTTATCTAGTGACGACTCTGATTTTTCCGCAAAAACAGAGACAATGTGCCAGTTTTTCGATGAACGTGGCTAACCTGTTTCTTTCGTTCAAGTGGGCCACCACCTTGCCCAACAAATTGATCGACAGTCAGCACCACAAACGGCTCAGATGGAAAATGCTGATCTCATTCCTCTCACATTTCACCCTCACAACCACGCAATTAAATCTATCATTCTTAAAAAACTTTAAACTAATTCAAAACGATTCAAAGGCTGGTACTATCTTTTTGCAAAATCCACTAAATTCATTCAAACGTGACAAAAACATAGGAAACTTTTTGGTCAGAAGAAACAATTTCCTTCCGTCAACAACTTTAACATTGTGCTTTTCAATTAAGCATGTGCCTGTGTCGTAACGCTACGTTGATGTTCATGCTTATGTTTCTGCGTCTGTTAAAAGTATTGTACAATTGATTGACATCGTTCTTTGGCTGAGATGATCATTTCAATAAAGACAAAATGTGTTGCTGCGTTTATTTTTTATTATTCCATGTCAGGTTTGCTGACAACAGTCCAGTCCAGTACGTGGAATAATATTTTCTAATCGTTTGAAACACCAAGTTTGTATGGTAAAACTTGACCACCCATTCAGCTTTAATCTGAGCGCCCCTGTCACATAGAAGTCAAAGAAGAAACAATAATTACTGGCTGGTGATATCGAGTATTCGTGCACATAACTGGTCTTGCAAAAGTTAATCCAAAAATAACTTTTTCTTTCAGGTATTGTGGTGCTTCTTCCAAAAGCAGCAAGTGTTACTGGTAAGTCTTATAGTGCATCAACTTACTTGATTCCGGTCTTTGGCTTAATTTCAATATTTCTCGGTGAACTTTAGCTAAGAAATGGTAATCAAATAAGGTGAGATTGAAGGAGATGAGACGAGTTCATTGTCATATTTTGTAAATTTTGGGCAAGTGAATAGCCGAGCAGTCGACATTGTTCTAGTAAAGACACCGACAAAACAAAATTCCAAGGCTTGTTCTTTTGAAAAATGTGATGATTGTTCAAATTTTGTGTGGGTATATTTGTGAGAGTTCGATTTTTCTCGGTTGCCATACTCAGTCAAAAACTCGATCTCAGATCGAGATTGAAAGAAGTCGGTTAAACTATGCAAAGATAGAACACACGATCGACTCAGCTAGCTTTTGCATCCGTTCCCGCGTCTTAGAAACATAGAGACATATTTTTAGTTTGTGGAAAGACTGGTTTTAAGCAGTAAAATCCGCGGAAGAAACCATTGAGCGTTCGGAGCTATGTTCGGAGCTGAAAGCTTTTTAATCTCGCTATTATCAGAACAATCTTTCTTTCAAAAATATTTCAAGGAGATTCCTATTATTTTGATACACATTATAATCCGTCGCTGACTTTAATAGACCTTTATGAAGTGTTTAAGCATCATTTCCAGAACAAAAACAGATCTTATGATGAGCCCTCACAATGTTAAACAAGCTTTCTTATATTCTCACATTGACAACAGTTCGTTTGGTGAGCTCCACCAATTCGTTGTCGTCTGGTCGTGTTGAAGTGTTTTATAATGGTACATGGGGAACCGTTTGCGACGACTGGTGGGACTTACAAGACGCTGATGTAGTTTGTCGCCAGCTTGGATACGATGGAGCTTTATCAGCACCCAGAGCCGCAGCGTTTGAACAAGGAACTGGTCCGATATGGCTGGATGACGTTGGATGTTTTGGAAATGAGAAATCTATATTTCAGTGCGGTCACCAAGGATGGGGAGTTGAGAACTGTCGGCATAGTGAAGACGCTGGTGTGGTATGCCGACCCAAAGGTAGAGTAATGATATGATTACGTTTTATTACCATATTTAACAAGCATAAAAATAAACTAATCAGAATAAGAGAAGGCTGTTGCATGTTTAACGGTAATTCAATAGAACCTTCCATGTCGCGATCTTATTCCTACCAACAGATAGCAAGTGGTGCCATTTGGTGCCTGATTTTTAAAGCGTACGACTGCAACCTTTAATGATAGCCCTAAATAGTATTCAGGATGATTGACTTTAGGAATTAACTTTGCAAGAACTGAGATGGTATACATCAAGAAGCTATTTGAAAAACATTTCAATTAAGTTTAAGCGCACATTCATCACTGGGGTCAGTAATGAGGTATGGTAAAGTGTCGCTAAGTAATGTTTCTAAAGGCTGAAGGGTTTTAAATATCGCTATTAACCTGACTCTACCAAACGATTTGTTTTCTTCCGTGTAGAATAATAAAGATGAGAAGATAAAACTCTTAAGCTGGCCTTTTTCGATGGCTTTGCTTCTTTTGGACCGAAATAATCGGATAAATATCGACGAAGACGGGGGTTATTTTGTGATAACAGCCCGGTGATTCTCCACCACATGACTTTAAGTAGCCAATAAAATAGCTCGAAAATTAATAGATTGATTACGACCCTCAGCTCTCTGCTGTGCTCTGACAAACACTTAACGGTCCACATGTCAATCGTTCAAAATGCCAAAACTCGCTATGGCGGCTTACTTCTTGTTGATAATCGTTCATGTATAGCCTTTTCCAAGGCATTGCGTAAACCAGCCCTAGATGTAGTTCTCATTAGGGAAGACGATGAGATATTGAAATCATTTATCCATAGATATGGAGCGACCTATTTTCCCAATTAATTAATGGCTGTCTCGCTAGGGTTGGTCCTCCCGATTTCGCGGGATAAAAGGTTATTTACTTAGGAAAATGCTTTCTGACTAATTATTAATGAGATGTTGCATCTTCATTCCCCAAATTTAGGTCATTATCCTCTGCTATTAATCAGTGTGTGGCATACTGTCTTTTCTTGTCATAAAGTTGATAAACAATTTCACATTAAGGTATAGCTTCATATGAAAACACTGACCTCTTGGTGTATTATATACGAGTCAGGTCGATGATCGATATTTACGCGGCTCAGTTGCCAACGATTCCGCTTCTTTGTAAGATTGTCGTTCTAACAAATCAGAATCAAAGTCGCCAGGGAGGGTTTGTAGATAGAGCCGATCAGAAATGATTCTAATCTCACAGAAGTGGTGACGCATCATTGTGGCTCCTATATCAAGATTATCCCATCTATAGACTGGATTTACAGTTAGGTTTTCTTTATACTACGCCGCCACCTCGATTGTCTCGATCATTCCGCACTGATATGAAGCCAGGGATTCTTATTCAATGATCCAAGATGTAATTATCTGTAATGAATCGCTCTGATGCAAAGTAGAAGGCTACTACCTCGGCTAAGAAGATTGTTTAACAGGCCATTATGGCGTTTATTTAAGGCAGACAGGTCCTTGTCCTCTTGTGTCGAGTAATCTGCATTTATGATAGATGTGGAACAATTTAAGATGAAAGTAGTCCTTACACTAGTTCAATAAAGACAGGGAGGAAAATTCAATTGAAGTAGTCCATACCCTCAAAGTCTTTACATTTGCTCGGTTTGACTCTTTCGCATTTACGATGATCTACAAGCGAATAGAGCATTTGCAAGGATGATTTAGAGCCAGGATTGAGTGAGACAACTCTGCTTAGGACAGGTTGTTGAAACTTGTTCGTTGAATTGGCGAAATATGGCAGCCTCGAGTGAAGAAAGCGTTATCCTCTTGTAGATATATGATGGTTGCTTCAGCTCTGCGCTTCGAGTCGGTCTTCTTGTATCGCTTGACGACAGTAAAATTAAAACGACGCAAGTATAAATATCGACTGTCGTCTTACTAGGCTGGACAAACAGCTTTGCCGAATGCCATGCTTCCCGCCGAAGGGTGAATAATTTCTGTGAGCGTCTCGAGAAAAAGGACTCTTCAATATTTCTATTTTGAAAAATACAGGTGGAACGGCGGTAGAATGTAAATGATACCATTGTAGATTCGCAGAGCTAGTTGCTACAAAGAAGAGCGGAAGCTATGCGACTATCATGTTATGGATCAGTTTTTTCTTTTTATGCCCTTGATTTATCTTTGATCCATAGAAATAAAAGTAAATGAAAACATTTAGATAAAGCATTTATAGCAGAGGATTGATGCATTTTTTATTATTAGTTTCTTGATTTTTATGAAAAAATTATTATCTGGTTTGTAGAATTTTAGAAATAAAAACTGTTATTTTCAGTTATTAACAAGACAGTTTTCTATTGTACATATTCAATTTTCAAGACCTTTCCTCGGAAGTTGATTTTCCTGATATGATATTTTTTAGTTCTGTTTGTCAAATAAAGATTATTGAATATTATTAAGACAAAAAAGGTATTATTATTATTATTATTATTATTATTATTATTCATTTTAACCCTGCGCTTTATTAAAAAGTTTGCCCATACCGGATTGGCAAAGCTGCCTGGCTTTGATAGTACATTTGAATATGCCAGTTCTTACTAGCTTACTAATATACCTACTGGTTAACATTTATGCCTACTTTACAGCTGTTCGTTTAGTGAATTCTTATTTACAACATGCTGGTCGTGTTGAAGTGCTATACAGTGGTATATGGGGAACAATTTGTAGCGACTATTGGGATTTACAGGACGCTGAAGTAGTTTGTCACCAGCTTGGATACGATGGAGCTTTACGAGCAGTTAGTAACGCAGCATTTGGACAAGGAACAGGCCAGATATGGTTGGATGACGTGCAATGTGTGGGAAATGAGAGATCGATATCACACTGCAGTCACTTTGGATGGGGAGCTCACAACTGTCGTCACTATCAGGACGCTGGCGTAGTTTGCCGACCTGCAGGTAATTTGGCGATACACGCTCACAATAAACAACTCAAAGCCAACAGATTTTCTTTTTTTGTTTTTTTTCTCATTTTTAGCCGCTTTTACAAAGTGCTGCGTATAACGCTATTTTTAATGAATCAATGCTTACTAAAATACAAGTAAAACTATCCATAACATACATGTAAAATATCCGCTTAGAAGCCATTCAGAAGAATCTTTCTTTCAAAAATTTTTCAAGGAGGTTCCTATTATTTTGATACACATCATAATCCATCCTTGACTTTATAGACCCATATGAACTGGTTAAGCATCATTTCCAGCACAAAAACAGATCTTATGATGAGCCCTCACAATGTTAAGCAAGCTTTCTTATATTCTCACATTGATAACAGTTCGTTTGGTGAGCCCCACCAATTCGTTGTCGTCTGGTCGTGTTGAAGTGTTTTATAATGGTATATGGGGAACCGTTTGCGACGACTCGTGGGACTTACATGACGCTGATGTAGTTTGTCGCCAGCTTGGATACGATGGAGCTTTATCAGCACCCAGAGCCGCAGCGTTTGAACAAGGAACTGGTCCGATATGGCTGGATGACGTTGGATGTTTTGGAAATGAGAAATCTATATTTCAGTGCGGTCACAAAGGATGGGGAGTTGAGAACTGTAGGCATAGTGAAGACGCTGGTGTGGTATGCCGACCCAAAGGTAGAGTAACGATACGAGTACATTTTATTACCATCTTTAACAAGCATAAAATAGACTAATCAGAATAAGAGAAGGCCGTTGCGTGTTTGACATTAATTCAATTAAACCTTCCATGTCGCGATCTTATTCCTACCAACAGATAGCAAGTGGTGCCATTTACTGATTTTTTAAAGCATGCGACTGCAACCTTTAATGATAGCCCTAAATTGTATTCAGGATGATGGACTTTAGAAATTAACTTTGCAAGAGCTGAGATGGTATACATCAAGAAGCTCTTTCAAACACATTTAGATTAAAGGGGGTAAGTTTCTCAAGAAAATGTGGTGCTGCGTCGGTGGGAGAGTATAGCAGGTAATTTAGTGTTAACAACTGAGTTGAAAACGTAAATTGGCCACCGTAAAGAGTTAAAAAGCTGACGTTCCGAGCGTTAGCCCTTCGTCAGAGCGATTAACACTACGTGTTTATGGCTTGGAATGTGTTCATCACGGGGGTCAGTAATGAGCTATGGTAAAATTTAGTTATGTAGTGTCTCTAAAGGCTGAAAGCTTTTTAATCTCGCTATTAACCTGACTCTACCAAACGATTTGTTTTCTTCCGAGTAGAATAATAGAGATCAGAAGATAACACTCTTAAGCTGGCCTTTTTCGATGGCTTTTTTTCTTTTCGACAGAAATAATAGGAGGATAAATATCGACGTAGATGGGGTTATTGTGTGACTCTCCGCCACGTGACTTAAAGTAGCCAATAAAACAGCGCGAAAATTAATGGGTGGATTATGACCTTCAGCTATCTGCTGTGCTCTGACAAACACTTAACGGTCGACGTGTCAATCGTTCAAAATGCCAAAACTCGCTATGGCGGCTTACTTCTTGTTGATAATCGTTCATGTATAGCCCTTTCCAAGGCATTGCGTAAAGCAATTTTGAATGTAGCTCACATTAGGGAAGGCGATGAGATATTGAAATCTTATATCCATAGACAACGAGCGACCTATTTCCCAATTATTAAACGGCTGTCTTGCCAGGGCTGGTCCTCCCGATTTCGAGGGATAAAAGGTTTTTTTAACTCAGGAAAATGCTTTGCGATAACTTATTAATGAGATGTTGCATCTTCATTCCCCAAAAAAAAGGTCATTATCCTCTGCTATTAGTCAGTGTGTGGCATACTGTCGTTTCTTGGTATAAAGTTGCTAAACAATTTTACATTAAGGTAAAACTTCATATGAAACACACAAAAACACTGACCTCTTGGTGTACTACATGAGTCAAGTCAATGATCGATATTGACGAGGCTCAGTTGCCAAGGATGCCGCTTCTTTGTAAGATTGTCGTTTTAACGAATAAGAATCAAAGTCGCCAGGAAGAGTTTGTAGATAGAGCCGATCATAAAAGGTTCTAATCTCACAGAAGTGGTGACACATCATTGTGGCCTCTATATCAAGATTCTCCCATCTATAGACTGGATGGACAGTTAGGTTTTCTTTATACTACGCCGCCACCTCGATTGTCTCGATCATTCCTCACTGATATGAAGCCAGGGGTTCTTATTCAATGATCTAAAATGCAATTATCTGTAATAAATTGTTCTGATGCCAAGTAGAAGCTACATAGTACATAGTACATAGTACATAGTACATAGTACATAGTACATAGTACATAGTACATAGTACATAGTACATAGTACATAGTACATAGTACATAGTTGTCGTTTTAACGAATAAGAATCAAAGTCGCCAGGAAGAGTTTGTAGATAGAGCCGATCATAAAAGGTTCTAATCTCACAGAAGTGGTGACACATCATTGTATATCAAGATTCTCCCATCTATAGACTGGATGGACAGTTATTTTCTTTATACTACGCCGCCACCTCGATTGTCTCGATCATTCCTCACTGATATGAAGCCATATTCAATGATCTAAAATGCAATTATCTGTAATACATAGTACATAGTACATAGTACATAGTACCGATGCTACTTCGGCTAAGAAGATTGTTTAACAGGCCATTCAGGCGTTTATTTAAGACTGACAGGTCCTTATCCTCTTGTGTCGAGTAATCTGCAGTTTATGAATGATGTGGAATCATTTAAGATGAAAGTATTCCTTACACCAGTTCAATAAAGACAGGGAGGAAAATTCAATTGAAGTAGTCCATACCCTCAAAGTCTTTACATTCGCTCGGTTTGACTCTTTCGCATTTACGATGATCTACAAGCGAATAGAGCATTTGCAAGGATGATTTTTATTGAGTGAGACAACTCTGCTTACGACAGGTTGTTGAAACTTGTTTGTTGAATTGGTGAAATATGGCAGCTTCGAGTGAAGAAAGCGTTATCCTCTTGTAGATATATGATGGTTGCTTCAGCCTGCACTCCGAGTCGGTTTTCTTGTATCGCTTGACGACAATAAAATTAAAAGGACGCAAAAATTCAGGAAAAGATAAACCGGAAAAATCTGAATCGAAGTATAAATATCGACTGTCGTCTTGCTAGGCGGACAAACAGCTTTGCCGAATGCCATGCTGCCCGCCGAAGGGTGAATAATTTCTGTGAACGTCTCGAGAAAAGGACTCTTCAATATTTCTGTTTTAAAAAAGACAGGTGGAAAGGCGGTAGAATGTATATGATACCATTGTAGATTCGCAGAGCTAGTTGCTACAAAGAAGAGCGGAAGCTATGCGACTATCATGTTATGGATCAGTTTTTTCTTTTTATGCCCTTGATTTATCTTCGATCCATAGAAATAAAAGTAAATGAAAACATTTAGATAAAGCATTTATAGCAGAGGATTGATGCATTTTTTATACTTAGTTTGTTGCTAAATGATTTTTCAAAAAAATTATTATCTGGTTTGTAGAATTTTAGAAATGAAAACTGTTATTTTCAGTTATTAACAAGACAGTTTTCTATTGTACATATTCAATTTTCAAGACCTTCCCTCGGAAGTTGATTTTCCTGATATGATATAAAAAGGTATTATTATTGTTATTATTATTATTGTTATTATTATTATTATTTTTTTTTTTTTTTATTATTATTATTATTCACTTTAACCCTGCGTTTTATTCAAAAGTTTGCCTATACTGGATTGGAAAAGCTGCCTGGCTTTGATAGTACATTTGAATATGCTAGTTCTTACTAGTTTACTAATAACTACTGATCAACTTTTATGTCCACTTTATAGCTGTTCGTCTAGTGAATTCTTATTTACCACACGCTGGTCGTGTTGAAGTGCTATACAGTGGTACATGGGGAACAATTTGTAGCGACTATTGGGATTTACCGGACGCTGATGTAGTTTGTCACCAGCTTGGATACGATGGAGCTTTACGAGCAGTTCGTAACGCAGCATTTGGAGAAGGAACAGGCCAGATATGGTTGGATGACGTGCAATGTGTGGGAAATGAGCCATCAATATCACACTGCAATCACTTAGAATTGGGAGCTCACAACTGTCGTCACTATAAGGACGCTGGCGTAGTTTGCCGACCTACAGGTAATTTGGTGATACACGCTCACAATAAACAACTCAAAACCAACAGATTAACTTTTCGTGTTTTTTTACTCATTTTTAGCCGTTTTTACAAAGTGCTGCGTGTAACGCTATTTTTAGTGAATCAATGCTACCTAAAGTACAAGTTAAACTATCCATAACATGCATGTAAAATATCCGCTTACAAGCTCTTCAGAACAATCTTTTTTTCAAAAATATTTCAAGGAGATTTATGTTATTTTGATAGACATCATAATCCGTCGCTGACTTTAATAGACCTTTATGAAGTGTTTAAGCATCATTTCCAGCACAAAAACAGATTTTATGATGAGCCCTCACAATGTTAAACAAGCTTTCTTATATTCTCACATTGACAACAGTTCGTTTGATGAGCCCCACCAATTCGTTGTTCTCTGGTCGTGTTGAAGTGCTTTATAATGGTACATGGGGAACCATTTGCGACGACTCGTGGGACTTACAAGACGCTGATGTAGTTTGTCGCCAGCTTGGATACAATGGAGCTTCATCAGCACCTGCTGATGCAGTATTTGGACAAGGAACTGGTCCGATATGGTTGGATGACGTTAATTGTGAAGGAAATGAGACATCGATAACGCAGTGCAGCCATGGAGGATGGGGAGTTCATAACTGTGGTCATAGTAAAAATGCTGGTGTAGTGTGCCGCCAACTAAAAGGTCAGTTAGATTATGATCTTGCAAACAATTATTTTCAAATAATTTTAGCTCCCTAAATCCGATTCAATTCGCTTCTTGAAAGCTTGGCAAAAATAACTTAAGGCATTCCATGGAAGAACGAGTTCAAACCCTCGTCAAAATCTGATTGGTTCAGACCTAATTGTTTCTCTTTCCACAGTAGTTCACCGATGATGATCATTTTGTTACCTGTGATCATCCGATGGTTGAGGTAAAATCTATCTATCGAGTATCTTATTTTCCATACGAACTCTTTCAGTTTGCGGTCAGAGCCCTTTAACAGTCCAAAGTTAAAAAACATAACTAGTTAAGTTGCTTTATCGTCTCTATGTACAATTTTATGGTACTTGTTCTAAAAAACAACAGCAAACAAAAGAGCGGAACATTTGAGTAACCAGCCGCTACAGGGCTCTTTGTCTAAACTGTAGCCTGTATCTTTTTAATAACTTACATTTTGCTACAAAGTCCTTGGCAAAACCCCGACCAACTTAGAACCAATCAGAACGCTTAGGTTAATCTCAGGACTACCTTTCCATATAATTAATGCAACTATTCCATGAGTGCGCGAGATGGTAAATAGCCAACCAGCAAAAATGGAACAGTTGCACAGTAAATTTCATTAAATCCAGAAAGTTTGAATATTTTCAGCAAGACTCTTCAACTTCCAACATGTCGCAATGCATTTCCGTATAAGGTGAATCGGAATATGAGCTGATAACCGCAGTTGTGTGAACCAATCAGAACACAGTCAGTCAGATTTGAAAATTTCACAATAACAAATATTGGTTTTTGCACTTTGATAGAAGTCTTGAAAATACGGCTTCGGGCAAAATCTTCAGGTCCGAAGTTATTTTGTATACGGACCTATGAAAAACTAAATTTTTGGAGGAGGAATATTTGAATTCAATTTGGTCACGTTAACAGCCAGGCATATGATGGACTTCCATCATAAATTTCGTTGTCATTTTCATGAGAAAAAAAAAACCGACATGTTACCCAGATTCAAGTTCGCTTTTTATTGTCAGACTTCGATGCGTTCACGTTCCAGTAAGATAACTGGTAATAGATAAGCATGATTTAGCAACGATACATTAGTCGTATGTAATTTGAGGCGTAATATATGTGATAAAAGCTGAAAATTCCAGGCGACGAGTCACTCTGAAATATCACAAGAAAAACAGAAGATATTTGTCAGAGTAGTAGTCACGAACTGTGGAGACTGTAATACGTTTCTTGAGTGTGACGTAAAAAATATTTTTCTCTGTGTACACATTAAGTACAGTCCGTTTGTTGAGTCCCAACAATTCACCGTCGTTTGGACGTGTTGAAGTCCAGTTTCATGGAACATGGGGAACAATTTGTGAGAATTACTGGGGCCTAAAGGATGCTGATGTGGTTTGTCGCCAACTGGGATACGATGGAGCCTTATCAGCCCTTAGAGATGTAGCATTTGGACAAGGAACAGGCCCGATATGGCTGAATAGGGTGCACTGTGGAGCTCGAGGATATCAGGATATCAGTCTCACAATGCACGCACGCAGGGAATTTTTTAATTTTTATGATTTGGCTTAGGCAGAATCAGCACGTTATAGGTCTCTTTTTTTAATCAGTTAAGTACATTTAATTAAAGAAATATCACTTTAAAAAATGTAAATACAATCAGAATCAGCACGTTACAGGTCTCTTTTTTTAATCAGTTAAGTACATTTAATCATAGAAATCACTTTAAAAAATGCAAATACAATCAGGGCAGATATAAATTTATTCTTCAATAATTGCTTGCACAGTTCTCTTAAAGGCAAGAGAATATAATTATTTTCATATCCTTAAAGGCCTTTGATATCGAGGTTCACCACGCCATGTAATATCCATCTTCACTGGGAAGGCAATTCTTCATTCACCTGTTCTGTTTCTAGATGCACCATCAGCCACCCAGGCAAGCACCATTATTAAATTGGAGTTAGGAGAAGATAGGTCTATTGGTTGCCCTGTGGACATTGGAAACCTCCCAGCTGATATCACATGGTACAAAGGAAATGATACCAACGGCAGAAAAATTACTAACTGCTCAACTCTTGAGGTTAGGAATGTTGCTTCAAGTGACAAAGGATGGTATACCTGTTTTGCAAAAAACGAATTGGGAAATGCAACCGGCCGGTTTTTGCTATTTGTTGGTAAGTTAAATGGATTTAAGTATGATTAATGATAATTATAAACCACTATCGAATCTGGACCGACGTAATTCAGCAATATTGTCAGCAAAGTCGTCGACAAAAACAAGGCTTCAGCAAATTCTACTAATATTTATCTTTTAATGGCATGTTAGAGCTCTCTTTCCTCCGACATACTAATCAGCAGAAGGAAAGAGAACAAAGGAATTTTTAACCCTGTAAGTGGGACTAATGCGTATTCATCTGAAGAAGTTTTGAGAAAGCTAAAATGCTATAACGCTTGTTATTCTACAAGGGAAGATAATTTTCTTACGTATACATGCATACATCCATAATTGTATTAAACATTCGTCAAGTCACATTGTTTAAAACTTGACATTAAATAGGCCATGACCATCGATTCCTTGGAAACAAGTTGACTTAATTTTCCCTTTGATTCTTGCGCTCCTCTGTTTAACACTTGGAAATAAGTGCTCTTCTTGGATTTCTCAGACAATTTTGCATCACTATTGTTATTACACTTTTATGTGGCTTTTAATGGTTATACTAGTCCTAGAAAATTATCGCGTAATGCAGGACCACCTTAAAACTGTTTCTGCGATCGGAGCATCCAGCTGAAATATTGCATTTATCATCAAGGGGTTCGTAATAATAATGATAGATTAACAAAAAAAAATGTCTCGTTTTAAAAGTCCAATGTCATTTCTCTCCAGTTAAACCAGCATCAAGAACGGTTACTTCATCATCCCAAACAACTCCCACAGGTGATTGCTTTTCTTTTTTATATGCTGAAAACTAGAGATCGTATTTCGATGTTACGAACTGAAGCGAGTAAAACATTATGAGGTTAATAAACTTGCTCTGTCACAGACGGTCGAGGACTACCCTGTAAACGTTAGACTGTAGACCTCTGACAAGTCATTTCTCGGGTTAGGTACCGTAGTCGAGGCAATCGTTTGCGAAGTTTCATGCCAACATCGGTTTTTGTGTCAAAATTTCAAACCTTTCTTACTCTATTTTACCTTTCCACATTGTCGACCTTGTTTTCTCTTAAAGTTTTAGAGGAAATAGTTAAGAAAAAACGTTACGTTATTTGTTTGCCTTTTTCCTTCACGGGACTCCAAGAAAACTGTAATAACCAAAGTAAGAAGTATTCGCTTTATTCGCATCAGAAACCCATTCAATGTCCATTTGGTTTGATGGAGATTTTGCGATTCATCGCCTTGGCTGTCTTCAAACACAACTACAGATGGATTGGGAATTGCAACCAAAGCTACATGTTACAAAGTAACTTTTTCAGACCAAATTAAAAAAAAAAAAACAATTATGGAAATCTTTATCAGTGATTGCCTTCTCTTCTTTTCTTATGGTAGCCATTTCTTTGAAGGAAATACATGCTCACTGGTTTTGCAGTGTTGATTCATACAAAATTTGGTTCCCAAAACTTGCACAGGGAGGGTAACACCCTGTTTTGCTTTGGTATTTAGACAGTCATAGTGAGCATTCTTTCGTTCACGTGCCTAAGCCATGTCATTAGATCAGTATTTTAGCCAGGATCAGGGTAAAACATTGCTCAATTGTTGCTTCATTAAGCCTCATGAAACCAATCAATTTAGGTCCTGAAGAATGCAAGTGCTCAAGTAACGATGTCATGTTAAGAGCGTTTATTGGTATTCCTGCCTTCATAATCCTTCTTCTGGTAATTTACATAATCCGGCTACACAGGAGAGGTGAGTAACAATTTCATTACTTACGTTAGAGCGGTGAGGCAGCATCCGTCATGAAGTAAGACAAACCTTTTTTACCTCTATCCAAAGAATCCTGTTTTTATACCTTTTTTTCCTCCTTAGGCACTGTAGAGAAACAAAGGTAAGAATTTGCTCTCACGTGGGATGGTTTGAGATCATTCTTCAGATATGGTATCATCCAAAAATAAAATGAAAAAACTGATGAAATTCATTTCCTAAATATTTGCATGTTAGAGCCAAAATGGCTGCCGTGAACTTTGAGTTCTCGAGAATTTTTACTTCGTCCTTTTTCTAAATAGTCTTTCATTACCTGAGCATTTATTCAAGAATGCTTGGATTGACCTCAAGTCTATCTTGCCATATCATAATACTGTTTACCATGATTTTGGGCGAAATCATGGCCCTTCAATTGCCTAAATACGCCGAAGTCTTGGATTTAACTTCAAATGTCTCGTCGAAGATTATAAATTAATTTATTCTTATTAAAACCTACTTTTCAAGCGAGTATATGATTAAGTTAATCAGTTATCAGTGACTTTTCCTCCTGGAAGTTCTTAGGTTTTTATTTGTAAATTCGCATCAGTGCTAGTTATCCTTACCTTAGCTTCATAATTTGTCATGCGCATATGAACATACTTGTATGGAATGTGCGCAATGTAAGTTCTATATTCATTATTAGTATTACTATTTAAAATGTTCATTATTATTGTGATCTTATTTTTCTTAATTGTAGGTGTTACGAAGAAAAAAGAAGTGTTTACGACGTAAGTTACAGCTAAGACATTAAGGTTATATCGGTGCGAGGAGAAAGTTCGTGATCTTACTTTTAATGTGCTACATTCGCAATATTTGAACGAAGAGAAAAAGGATTTTACTAAAAACGCAGAAGGAATGCATTTAAAATGGATGGTAGATACCATGTGATAAATAACCCATAACTGGTTATGAACTCTGTCGTGTGTCAAGCTACCATTGGATTTGCTCTCGGTTGTTCCAAGTTTACCACATAGATTTATCTAAAGGTCTGCTTTCCGTTGAGATTTGTTTTTCAAATAAATCTTCAAATAATCCCATAAATCTCGATCAATTCATTGACCATGATTCTTTTCAATAGTGGACAGCATGCTTTTTATTGATTTTAGTCATGACAAAGGAAGAACATAACATAAGTCTGATGAAAATGCGTAAGCTGTTTTTGCCTAGTATAGCCTGTTGTTGAGATTTATTAGAGACTTCATTGTTGCAAACCCATTTTCCAAACGGTTGAACGGGTACATTGATTTAATAGAAAATGGTGACGCTACAAGAAATCGAACCATGTCAGCGCCATTCAAGCACAGTCATGCAGCCTTCTTCGGAAGACATGGATCTCGAAGAACCCAAGAAAGATGATAGAAAAGTACAAAGTACAAGTCTAGGTTACGCGCCTCCTCATCCAGCAAACCACTCATGGGAAGAAATCGAACCAAGTCAGCGCCATTCAAGCGCAGTCCCGCAGCCTTCTTCTGAGTACATGGGTCTCAAAGAACCCAGGGAAGATAATAGAAAAGCACAAAGTACAAGTCCAGTTTATGAGCCTCTTCATCCAGCAAAACGCTCCTGGGAAGTTCCAAGACATCACGTTACCATCGAAAAAGTCATTGGCAAAGGTTCTTTTGGACAGGTTGCCAAGGGAACGGCAGTAGGACTTCAAGGGAGACCTGATACTACTACAGTGGCGATTAAGATGCTTAAATGTGAGTCAAGTATTGATTTCAGTATATTTCTTACCCTTCTTTTTTTTTTTTTGGTTTTTGTTTTGCATATTATAAATATTTGCATATTATAAATATTTGCATATTATAAATATTTGCTCACTCCAGCTAACGCTGCTGAATCGGACAAGAGAGATTTGATGAAAGAACTCACGTTATCAAACTTCTGGGATGCGTTACAGAATCCGGTATGTTTTGGTTGTGTATGTTTTATTGTGCCATACGCATTTTCCTTATAAATTTACCATATGACTATCTCATCAATATCATTTGCTTCAAGTTTTAGGAAAATGCTTTCTTTTGGTTTTCAGAGGAACCCCTGGTACTTATTGAATATGTTCCTTTTGGAGATCTGCTTGGTTACCTAAGAAAGAGCCGTGGATTAAATGACACTTACTACAAAGACCCGGATATCAAACTACAAACGAATCTGACGTCACAACAGTTGATAAAGTTTTCCTGGCAAATCGCTGATGGCATGAGTTACCTGTCCTCGAAATCTGTAAGTTACAAATACGAAAGGCATAATGTAATTATAAAAATTCCTTGTAGGACGTACCGTCATGGTAAGCTTTTCCTTCATGCACGCTATTTCATATCTTAAAAATGCACCTCATAGGTGCAAACATATTCTTACTGTTTGGTCAAGTGCTTTTTTTGCAGGGTGCACTCTCCAATTTTCAACGCTATCATCCATGCTTTTTTTTGTTATTATCATCATTTTTTTAATTTTCGGTTGCAATCGTCGTACACCCTTGCAGATGTACCTCACCCTCGACTTATTCTGGTCTCACTGACTACTATAAAGTTTTCAATTGTCAACAGTTCACTGATTACCGAAATAAAATTTTCTCCATTTCTCTTGGAAACGGTACCAGTACTAACACATTTTAATTTATTATCACTTAGGCTTATAAGAAATATGCATGCTATTGATTTCGCTAGATATAGCTATTTTCAGATCTGAACTTTTTTTCAGTTTTTTTCCTCTTTTAATCACTGATCTTCGCTTCTTTCACAATCCATTCCTTTAGATTATTCACCGAGACCTTGCAGCCCGTAATGTGTTGGTTGGAGAAAACGAAACGTGTAAAGTGACAGACTTTGGAATGGCCAGAGATGTGCAACAGGAAAATATTTATGAACGAAAAACAAAGGTAATACAAAAATGGAGGGTTCTCAGTTATATAATATTCAGCATAATCACCTTACACAATAACTCTTGTGGCAGAGATGACATGTTGATGGTTTCGATCATGAAATCTCTGGATTGAGGAAATAATGGATACTTATAGAGTACTATTTCATCTGTAAATGTCGTTGATTTCTCGCTTGCTTTTTTTGTTCTGTTAACCAAATCTTAAGGGCCGTCTTCCAGTGAAGTGGACAGCTTACGAGGCGTTGTTTTATGGTACCTATACCACCAAAAGTGACGTGTAAGTATACCTGATCATAACTCTTAAAGATGGCGTCTATTAAACAAGTGGTTCATGCTTAGTGTGCGTACATAGAGGTAGGGATTGGTATGGATGTTTGTGGGAAGTTTGAAGAGCACAAGAGAAGCATAAGAATTCCTATAGGAGCGGCTGACAGCAATTCTTGCTTCGTGAGCGCTCCCCAGGCTTTCCAAGTGCGTCCATAACTCGATATACGCACAGTTACAGGCATTGACCAATTGTTGTGTGACATAGCAGACACAATTTGTCCACGATGTAATAATCGCGTGCTACCTGAAAACTATAGATAAAAAGTGAGGCAAAAATGACAAGAAGTATTTCGAGTTCAAACTTTATTCAAAGAAGTGCTAAATATGTTGTTTGGAGCGAAGAACGAGTGAATTTCTAGCAACTACCAGACCCACAAAGTGTTAAGAATTCTATCGAGGATTCTAACGAAATGCTATCGAAAATACTCAAAAAATAATAATTACTGATCCGAATGAGAGTCCAAACTTGAAGTCAGAAAGTTCAGTTTTATTTTTCCAACCATTACTCGTATCGCGTTCAGGAATCGAAATATCGTTGACTCTAAAGCTAATTTCGTCGCCTCTAGAGTTAAATGTCCATTTATTCAGTTTCCGAATCTAATGATATTTGGCATACTTACCTTTTCACTATGTGAGTCAAAGTCAATCTTTAAAACGATTAAGACCCGTGGTTAAACTGGAAGGGCGATTGTAGAAATTGTACAGTGATGACTCAATAGTTACCAATAAGATGATAGAAGCGTTATAAATTTCCATTATGTAAATTGTACTAATAGGGATTACAAACTTTGTCAAACAAAATATTTCGTCTGTGTCATAAAATGTTTATGACTTCAACCAGCCATTTTACGCATATTTTCTTTGCCCCCCTGCAGATGGAGTTATGGAGTTGTTCTTTACGAGATTTTCACCATAGGTAACATTTGATGTAGTATATAAAAAACGAGTGCGAGGGTTTGATCTTGGTATCCAAATATTGAGAAACAAAGGAAAGCACGAGGGCGCTTCGGCCGAGTGCCTTTATTTGCTTCGTGATGTTTGGATACCACCATCAAACCCGAAGCACGAGTTCTTTTAGATTGCTTCTCAGACTGCCTATATTATTTACCACAAAATCGTAACACTATTTAAGAACTTTGTGGATATTTTTTTCCATTCACTTATTTGAATTGAACAATGCTGTAACTGAAGTAATTGGGCTCATACTTTTATTTAAAATATCCACAAGTCTTCGTTACTAAACTTGAGCAGGGAAAATCCATGAAAGAGAACTCACAATAGAGGAAAACAGTTTATATGCATATCTATACAGCCATTTAAAAAACAACGAGGCTGTTTCTAAAAAGTAGACATAAACGCTGATGCACAGGACTAAATTTATCCACAAAAGTTGACAAATTACTCGACATAGGTTACGTAGTATTAAGCAACGATATAAATATCAACCACAAGTACACAATACAACTAATAAAATGTACATACACTCTGAGGCAATTAACACGCAAACGCACACGGGAAACGGTACGGCAAAAACTTTCGCGAATAACAATGCATTTTCTTCAAGTAGAAAAACTCCTCATGCAAATTCCTACTCCATCAAATGACATGGGTGGTGCTTTCAGTGATGGTCGTTGTTTAAGACATTAACATTCCGACTGTCTTGTTGATCTCTCTCAGGCGGTTCACCTTATCCAAGAATGGATGGAAAAAAAATTGCCAACTTACTTGAAGAGGGATACAGAATGCCTAAACCACAGCACGTGGATGATCAATTGTAAGCTTCTAATAAGTTTTTCTCCTTCCTTGCAACAGGAAATATTACATTAACTCTTCCACATAATCTGATGTTTGATGTGCGCAAGATGAAGTAACATTGTATTCCATACAAAAAATTATAGGTATCATATCATGATGAGATGCTGGCAAAATGACCCAGATGAAAGACCAGCTTTCACTGAATTAAAAAAAGAGCTTAAAGACATGGAAAGTCTACACAAGGTGAGAATTTTGGTGGGCATGGCAATTTTCTTTTACGCGGGAGTATCTTTAAATTCATAACTTGTCATTCAGATAGCCTTACTTGATATATATGTACTCATCCCTTCCAATTTGTGTGAAGTTTGGATTGCTTCTTCCTGATGTTTAAGCGCATTAGATCATATACTTATAATGAATTTTGCGCTATATAAGTATTAAATTTATTATTATTTTATTTATTATTATTATAGGTTATTATCGGTATACAAGAAGCAAAATAAAATGTCCCAACAACAGAATAATCTCTATGGTCATTATCTAAAAGATGATAAGACTATTGCAAAATTGCACTTTGATGCCCAAAAAAATAGTGAATGATAACGTTCTGCAACTCTTTTACCTGACAGTTCATGTGGATAACTCATGATATAACGTAAAGGGGGAGCACATTCAGTTTCATAATGCTATTGATTTCTTTTTCTCTTTAGAGGCTGATTAACATGAGAATGTACGACAAGAAGTTGTATGCAAACGTTGAGGATTTAATAGTGTAGTTAGGTACACGTCCTCTGTATTTAATTGGCGAACTGTTTGAACATTTTGCCGCGACGTTTTATGAAATAACCATCCTCGCCTGAAAACTGTTTTGCCGTGAAAACTAAAGTTCCCTTTTTTCTGGGAGAGCTGTCGAACACTTCTTTTTGCTTTCACTAGGACCGCCAATACTGTTGATACCAGAGGCAAATACTTAGGCACTGAAAACTGTTCACAAGTCTCATTATGCGGTTTTTTCTAAGTTATTCTTGTACCGTCTCTAGTGTTTAAAAGTGTACAATTTGCCTGAAGAGCGCAATAGTTTCGTACTTTCCAGATACGACTACTCAACCAGCTGGGCCAATGGATCGTAATTAACTTCCCTCTGACTTACTATAGCTATATTTTTCGTCTAATCTTTGTATCGTAGGTTATCCACTGATGGTAAACAAATCTAAAAAAATTGAAACACAATGACAACCCCGGAGTGGGGCTCTATCGTATCCCCCTGCGTTTCGATACGGTTGTCAATTAAAGGAAATTCCGAAGTCTAAGGTGTTACTGACTGTGGGTTGTCAAAAGTCACGTTATTTGCTGCAATTGAGCTTTCGTCCATTGAAGTTCTTTTTTCAAAACTGAATTACATCTGCATGAGTTAAAAATCTCTGTCGTGTGTGGAACCCGAGTACTCCCTTGTCACCTTGTAATTTTTGCAAGTGAACATCGCCTCGTTAGAAGGGATCTATCGAGTTGTGACTGTTTGTTTTAAAATTTGTACTTATTACGCGATATTAAGAAGGGGTCAGCAAGATGATAATGCAGTTCCTCAGTTTTCACTTTCACGTTCCACGGCAACTTTCACCTTTGCGCGTCACGGTAAAATTCATCATGGAAGTCTACCTTTGACTTCCTCTTTGACCATTCTCCAGAAGTCCGAAGCGTAGAAGCAGTCTCGTCTGAGAGTTTGGTGACTATCTTGCAATCGTTGATTCAAGCAAATTACATCTCATTAAGTTATGGTTTGAGTAGCAAAAGCGATCTCAAATGCTACATAATCCATTTTAATGCACAATACAGCAAGCTAGATCCCACTTCTGAACTGACCACATGGCAAATAAGCTTTGTTCGTATTCTTTAAATTTTTTGAAAAAGAACAGTTAGGCGATGAAAGATAAGTCCTTTCACCAGTAACAATTTAGCCGCAACACGTGACACTTTACCGCAGCGTATTAAGAAATGGGAGAAATAGTGCGAGGGGATAGGGAGTTCATAAGTGTTGGCATAGTGAAGACATTGGTGTGGTGTGCCGACCCGCATGTAAAGCAACGGTTTACGAAGGTTTTAAATTTATTACAAATTTACAATCCCCTCAGTAAAAATGCTGGAGATTTTTAACAGCTAAAAATTTTTGGAGATGAACTCGTCACGAGACCGAATATGCCCCAGCTAAATCTAGGGAAAATCCATTGTTATGATCTATCAAATAATTTTGCTTTCGTGCGATTGGTCTAAATGCATAACGTGACCGAATATTCCTCAGCTAAAACTGCGAGATATCAGAGGATATTACCCAATATGATATTGATACATGATATGATATTCCCCAATCTTCAAACCCTACGTCCACTACGACACGTCTTTGTTTAAAATTTAATTCAAGATGAAAGAGCATTTTGTGTTTGTTACAGAAGAAGGGAAATATTTGCTTCGTTCATCAAGCCGTAACAGAAAACATTCAAAAGAACACGTTCCGCACCGTAAACAGTAAGCTGTTCGTAAATATTTTTTCCCGCGCATTGCAAAATATTGAAGGATGATAAACACATCAGTTTAAATATGCTCCTATATTTGTCCTTGGACACTACCTGTTCCTTGATGCTCATAGTTTTCCTCGAGTTTCGCTCTCAGAAAACTGTTCGCATCTTGGATCAGATAATGTCCGCGGACAAATATCCGTGCCTATTTCCGCGCCATATAGAGGCTATTGTCTACATATTCCCAGGTGGTATTCCCCAGTTTCAAAAGCTTATGTCCAATACGATAATTCTGCGTTTAAAATTTCATTCAGTGTGACAGAGCGTTTGGAGAGGAGGAGAAATATTTCATTATATGTAAAATTGTAGCAGAGAACACTGAAAAATGCACTCGTTTCACAGGAAAAATACACTCGTTTTTGGCCAATCAGAAGCGCGAAATTTTTTCAAGCATATTATTACATGAGTTATCAGGGTCGGCAACCAGGGACAGGTTTTACCATACTGTTTCTTTTGGACTGTTATTGATGTGAACCAGTTGAACAATTTGATAGAGTTTGTTTTCGTGGAAGGTTCTGAAGGGTAACCAACATTCCCTTCATTTTAGCTTTCAGCTTTTAGTCGCTACGAACTTCGTAGCCATGTTACGGATGCTCTTATTCAGCCCCTCAATTTATACCTACTACTGATTTTTGTTGAGTGAGATATGTGACGGAGGAGGTCCGACATAAATTTTTGTTTCAGCTTATTCCACCAAAATTAAAACAGACAGTGGGAATTTATAAAATGCCACCAATATGCCTCAACAGTCTTATTTTAAAAAAATTGTCGTCCCCATACCTTTGCGCGCATAAAATTTCTCGCTTGTTACAAGCATATACATTCATTTTGCCGCTGTGTCCCTGTGAGCACCTTGAAAGAAAGCATGCGCGAAAGCTGACTTTACCATCACCACATGCATTTGTTGTGTACTTGATCTTACATCACTGTAACCCAATCACAAAACAAGTTCTCTTAATCCGTCATCATAATTAAACAATTGCTGTGCAGAAATCTCATCCCACTTATCGATAGTCTCGGCCGGGTATTTATCTCGACACTCCCTGGCGAAAAATCCTCTGAAGGGTTCGTTTAAATCACGTAGAGAATCGCAAGAACGAAAACTTACACTCTGACTAAACAGGAGGGACTCCAAACATACTTTCTCAGCTTTTATTCTGTGGGCCAAAACCCTTAGCTCTGGTTTACTTCACTTCAATCATCCATATTGTTCTTTATACATTTCTTAAGGTGCTCACAAGGACAACTTTTATAACAATCAAGGTCTTTTTTCAGCAGGTGATCATTTCCTTTCGTTAACGCTATTTCTTGTGAACACAGTTTAGACTTTTTGCTCCTACCGTGTCAACCTCAATTCAGGAATTAAGTTTGAGGAAAGCACGGCAGAAGCAGGACGTCTGAATCAAACTTAAATTAAGTTTGACAAGTTCTGCCTTGCTAAACGGCTCTGGCGCGACAGCGATTCAAATGTCGTGGCTTTGCTGTACAAAACAAAATTTATTAATTAGGCTAATGTATTTGGGTGGGATTGGGTGTTCTTAACTGAGCCTTAGTTGAGTTTACAAGGAAAAGCGTTAACTAATTGTCGATTAGTGTCACCCCTTCTGGACAGCGATGTTTTTCTTGGCTTTTGCTTTTGGTTGAGTGTCTGTATTTCAGATTGGTAAATAGAGACAATACATTAAGATAATCCTCTTGTCTTTGGCTGTATGGCTTTTTCCATCAATTACTCCAACACGGGCTTCACAACTAATATCTGAATTTAATATATCAGATATATTGTTCTGTACTATCATAAACTATTGTCCAGTCATTGTAATGTTCACCTTTATGGCGCATATCATTCAGATTTTTCAATTCTTACTCTATGAGGTTTCGTTTGAGTGGTCTGTCATGCCAAACCTAATAAGAAATTCCAATAAATCTTCTACCAACGTGAACGAATCATTTTTCTGCGGCCTACCTTGCATCCGTCAGTGGGTTCACAACCTCGTTAGCCACTTTAATCTCCGATTTCTTTACAAAATATAGTTCACAGTCGGGCTAAGCCACCGTTCTTTGGTCTTTGGACACGAAAGTTGATTGATTCGGCAGTAAAAGTCCATTTATAACTGTCCAGAGAACAACCTTGGGATAACATGTACTGAGCACAAAAATATCCCGAAGAAATTTATTTCCAGGAAGTGAGACATTTGCTTCCCTTTTTTCAAAATATAATTATTCAGGGCATCCTATTGTGTAATTCAAAGGCACTAGCACCGAAGCTTTAATTCTTATGGAAAATCCACCCCATCATCGTTTAAATGAAAGAGACAAAGAGTCTGCTGAAGTCTTTGCTATGTATTGCGCAAAAGTAAACATCTCGCTAGTATTTGATCACCTAAGCTTGTCATAAGGTAAAACATTTTAGATGATCTCGTCGATAGTTATAATATGAAATCAGCCGCCTTATCAACATTTCAATAGCAAGCCACCAGGCATTGATTATTCGTAATTCACCATGGAGTTACTAAAACTTTTACACTATGCCTGATTGTACATTGGAAAGGGTTGCATCTTAACTAGTTCTTTTTTTAAGTGAAGACTTGTACCACAAATGGGCCAAAAACTTACAACTGTAATTCAAAAATTATACATCGATGTATGTTTCCTCGATAGAAGTACAGATTACTTTGCAGAATCGTTACCTTAAGGATATTGCTCCGGTTTCCAAAATTCTATCTAGTCATGCAAATAGTGCAACAAAATTAATTTGCTGAAAAAGGTTAAATAAAACTTCCATCTTCGGACCGTCTTAGCCACTGGAATTCATGACCAAGCATGGCAGTGATTTCACCGGAAGAGCAGTCGTCTCCCACTGGCAAATAGGGTGGTGAGAATCGAAGGCGAGGTATTTGTCGGTGTGGGTAGGTTTACGGTAGACACTTGTCTCTAAATTACCCTGAACCCCTCTGGACACATTTAAATCAACCACCCTATTTGCCATAAAAAAGTCTCTAGCCAAAACTTTACTTAGAAGGCTGACTGTCTACCATCTTCACACGATTCTAAGGCTAAGGAGAGGAAATATGTTTCCAATGTCCTAAAGGCAAACGGCTATACAAAAACTTTTCTCCGTAACTACCAAAAACCAGTAACAAATAGTAACGCTCTTGATGAAAGGGAACCAGCGACTGGTTTTGCTGTTATTCCTTACATACAGGGTGTTACGGAACCCATCAAGAGAATTTTGAATAGCCACAACGTTACAGTTGCTCAAAAACCTTTTCAGACTTTGGGGCATATTTCCGCCAAACCTAAGGATCCTGTCACGAAAGAACAACGAACCGACGCCATTTATTCTATTCCTTGCAATGACTGTGACAACGAATACATCGGACAGACCAAACGTCAGTTTGGTACACGGTTAAAAGAGCACCAAAAAGCGGTTTTCCTTTGCAAAAAGGAAATTCAGCTTTATCGGAGCATACATGCCTAACTAACCATACAATTGGGTAGGATACTTCTAAAATTATCACCACTAATCGGCGTTACTACCAGCGCCTTTGTTTGGAGGCTTGGCATATTAACTCCGCCCACACTCCTTTAAATCGTGACGATGGCGGTTTGCTTCTTGACGCCTATTTACACCTCGTCAGAAAAAAGGCCGATTAGTGGTGATAATTTTAGAATTATCCTACCCAATTGTATGGTTAGTTAGGCATGTATGCTCCGATAAAGCTGAATTTCCTTTTTGCAAAAGAAAACCGCTTTTTGGTGCTCTTTTAACCGTGTACCAAACTGACGTTTGGTCTGTCCGATGTATTCGTTGTCACAAAAGTTTCTGTCGAAACATGTTTTACAAACTCAAAAGTTTTGTCGCTTTCTTTAAATTCTTATCACATAAAAACGTAGATGACCTGAAGTGATTCATCAAAGGATATTTTACAGTTCACGGAAACTGTCGAAGTTTGTTTGACGCTCCGAGTGGAGGAGTAACTTGACTCGACCACAGACTTAAGCTACCTTCGTTTAGGCAGGCAGAGACCGTTATGAAATCATTTTTTAAGGTATCTCGTCTCTCTTTTTACCTTTGTTTCATTCGAACCGATCATTACCAGACGCGTCAAACAAAACATAACTAAGTAAATCGTAATTCTTCAGTTTGTCCTTTTAGTGTCAACTTTTTCAAATTTCCCAGGCATAATCTATATATCGATCAGTTTGTTCGGCGGAAGGGTGCGGGATCTTGAGGACCTAACCTTACCTGTTTTCCTGAGTGATAGCTACGAATCCTTTTTTCCTGCATCTTCTGAAGTTTAGTAGTACAAAATGGAGAAACTATCACGCGCATAGCAATATGAAGAAATCTTCTACTAAATAATGAACAAGGGAGAACAAATTTAAACTAGCAAAACTTTTATTGATCATGAATATTTAATTTTTTTCTCTGTTAAATTAGTTTTCTTCTTAACAATTCAGATATCAAGATGAACAAACAACTCGTATTGATGCTTTTGGCCC